TAGGCAGCCTGCACCTAGGTAGATTAGTGAGAGGTAGTTGGGAGGAGCTTTCATCTGGGCTGGGATCGGAGCTAGGAGGCGGGAAAAACGTGGAAGGCACAGCACCTAAACTGGAGCGAGCCCTCCTGCCGTATAGAGAGCCTAATGATGCAAGGTGAGGTAAGGTCGCCTGCGGGCAAGTCGAGATGCAGACACCCGAGTACGATGCAGGTACCTGCGGGCAGGCGCAGCTTAGCAGACACCGCAGGTACCGTATCAGCACTGCAAGGTACCGGCCGGCGAGAGGCCGCGCGAGGGAACACTTAGCGAGAGTGGCATCTTTCCAGACAGCACTGAGGCGAGGCATTGGGTAAAATGACAGAATGCAGTTGGTTCCCAAGCTGTCGCCCAGCTGCTCCCTGTCATCAATCAACGGGAGAGTGCCATTGCTCCGGGCATGCTCCCCTCGCGCCGGCGCGATCTGAACTGTCTCATCCGCCTGCTATGCAACCTTCCTTCACCGACTCGCCAAAACAGGGACTTTGACTACGGACAGAATCCGTGCGTGGTGACCAACTGCTCCATCCCAGGCTCTGGCTGCATGTCCCTCCCAGATTCGCTGTCATCGTACCTCGCGCACTATCGCGGGTGTCGCCGCTTCGCGGACCCGGCATTCAACTAACCATGTCGAGTTGCGCTGCAGGATGCCGTTACTTGCTCATACCTACCATCCATGAGTAGGTGCGAGGATTATCACCAAATCCGTGTGCATCCAACCGCTCCCCGTGGCGTACAGCAGCAGCCATCCCTTCAGATGACGCACGAAAGTGAGCCATTTCTCTGCGACTGTCTTGCCGGCCGCGCATTGACGCACGGGACTTCTAGACGAGCACAGGTCGACCCAAAACACCAAAAGAAGTTCGGACAGCCCTCGTCTCCCACCTTCGTGCTAGAGGCATTAGTGGCATACTATGTAATGACGGCTGGACACCCCATGCCAGGGCCCCACAAGGTGGGAGTGTATACCACCAGGGTTAAGGACGGGGATGCCTCCCTACCCAGTTACTTGGGTCAGAGAACGCCCAGCCTCAAGACCGATCGATGCGCCGCCGGCTCCAGTGTGTGCCACAGGCAATCTCATTGTGCATTAGCAGCTTTCCTGATGCGTTTGGTCAATACCTTCTCGTCTTGCCCGCCATTTGTGGCCAGGAAGCAGCATGCCATCATCACAAGCTGCTTCCAGCTTTTTTTTTCAATCATCTGACAATAAGCATCCCATCTCAGCCGCTTGGGCATTTCCATATGCTAGGTGCAGGGGTTAACTTGAAAATAGAAAGACAAACCGCCAATCATTTACGCTTGCGGCCTGGCCCATTGAACACCATTTACTATCATGATGGAGATCTGACACAGCAGCAAGCCCGAAACAGGAGAAGCCGCTGTACCACCCTGTTCGGTCACAAGCATTTTGCTTTTTCTCCATGGGGAACACATATGTTACTTGTCACTTTGCAGCCACAAACAGATAACGAAGCGCAAGTCCAAGGCCTTTATACCCAAAATCGGCTCTAGTGAGATCAAGACAATCCGATATATGACAGTCTTGTTTTCTCTTCTCGCGACCAACAATTCCACAATGAAGAGATGACACATGTGTGCATAGTTGTCTAGAATCAAGCTTCTGCCTACATCATGGAGTGCCATGTCACAGAAACACCGCTTGGGATAGTATGCTAACGCGAGTTGAAGTCGTGGACCAATAGAAACATGAACCAATCGCACCGCTACCTACAAAATGAAAGTCACTCATCACGACTGACCGGCTTGCGGCATTCGACGCCCGCATTCGCGGGGCACCATCCGCCTTTAGAAGCTCATTTTCCCATACCCATGTAGGAAGGATGGCCTAGGACGACACAGGATCAAAGCGCAACCACTTACCAACCGGAGATGTCCGCGGACCAGTCAAATTGCTCCGCATATTGGATTCGGAGCCGAATCACCGCCTTCCCACTTTGATCCTATTGGCTACGGCTCACCGACGTTCCCGGGATGCTTTCCACAAGCCCAGGATACATCTACCATCGACGGGAAGCCCCTGTGTCATGTATATGTACAACGTACAAAGCCACCATACCTATTTTCACTCCACGGTGTTCCGTACCCCCTTGGGCTTCTTTACTATGCGCCTCTCCTTGGTGATATTATACGTTGCGTCTTACAGCAGCTGGAGCGTGGCACAAGAGGAGCCACGTTCTGGGTAGCGGCAGAACTTGTTACAACTCTGGAGTCGCCACACCTGCACTGACCGGCCGGGGCAGGGATCGGATCCGTGACCATGCAGACACCCAACGTGTCCGGATATATGTTTGGGATGGCTGGGTGTCTGTGATGCAATAGGCAATATGGGGGTGCCAGCCAACTGCCCCACGGGGCAACAGAGGAATTCCATGTTGTTCCTTCTGATACGTACCTGCCTGTATCCGGAGCTTCCTCTGCATTTGGGCAGACTCTCAAACCTGCAATATTCACACGCCAATGTGGCATTTGATTATTTTTTCACGCTCACCGCACTTTGGCTCGGGTTATGGGTCGATTGTCTACTGCATGGGATGCTTTCCCGGCAGAACGGTCAGCACGGAAATCAAATTATCACAAATCCCAAGCCATAATCCATTCGTCCAGCGCATCGATTTATCAACCAAGAACCTTGCTCCCGCGGCCGCGGTACCTCATGTGACGGACAGGGACTGGGGGTGTCGAGGGAAGGCCAGCATGATGTGGGCCAAGGCGCAACATCCTTTACCATTAGAAGATGCAGGAAGTCGGTGAAGGTTAGGCAATGTATCATTTTGCGATGCTATCTGCTCACACCCGACCCCTCCGCCCATCTAGGGCCAGCCCAGGTGGGAGAATAACCAATTCGCATCACGGGTTCTTACGGGGAGAGTACGGCCCGGGCCGTAGCCTGGCTTGTTGGCCTATCATTCCCCTTCTCCTGCTCCCATGATATTAAAAGCTCTGCGCTCTCGTCCTGGCGGGTGTAACTCGAGTAATTGGGGTTTGACCCCGAGCAATGATGTAGGGTGTAGTGGGGATGGAGGAATAGGGATGACAACCTAGTTTCGGGTGGCGGTCTCGACCACCCTACATTGATCTTGGTTGCCGTCCATATCATCACCTCGAGCAGAAGAAAACAGAAGATGGTGCAGCTGTAGTGTTGGGCATCACGCCTGGTTCGACCTGAGTGGCTGAAATGTCGAAACAATGATATGCACGGCTCTCAAAGGGTGTAGCCTGACACGAGACACGAGGTGGCCAGACGCAGTCATAAACTCTATGACCGTTAACGAGATGTGACCAAAAACAAAACAGGGAAAACCTGTTTGGGAGAAAGAAAACAGGCCGAGTCAATTAGGCACCGGAAGGAAGAAGAAAGTAAATGCTACTTCAGCCATCCACCTAATCTCCGAAACGTACGTACAATGAGTGAGGATGATGTTCGAATGCGGCGGCCGAGTCCAGGATCAGTTGTGTCCATCTTCAGGGTAGGTAGGTAGATAGACAAGGGGATATGGCCGAGAACAGCAAGCCTAAACGGGAAAAAATTAGAGACGGGAGTCGGGGCCGGGAGCATAAAGCTTAGCGGGTGACTTCGGATGCAGGTAGCGGACCAGGCCGGCATGGGCAGAATCCGTTCTTGGGTGCATGGGGTTCGGGATAATGTGTGTTGGGTCTAGTTGAGACGACTCAGACAGAGGCCAGGCAGCAGCCTACAGTTTGGGCCGGACACTGCGTCGGAGGGTTTGGGAAGCAAGACCCAAGACCCAAGACACAGATTCGGGCGTGGAGACAAGGAACATGCTCGCCCGGAGCCGAACGAGAGAACCATGGACTCGGGCGAGTGACGGACAGGCGGCGTGGTTGGCAAGCATTCCAAGCGCCCCAATTCCACAAGCGGACCCACCCCCCAGTTAGATGAAGGCCCCTCCCCAGCGAGTCGCTGACTGGATTGGGCTAGCGGGCTCTGACTAAATGTCTTCGGAGAGTCACTGCTAGTCCCCGACAGGACCCATTAAACACAGGTCGGTCTGGAAACTAGCTACGTTAGTTGGAAAGGCCCAGGTGATGATGAAGAGAGAGACCGGGGAAAAAAGGAGAGTGGAAAGGTTGAGACATATTCGGGCGCTGCCGGGTATCGGATTGGCCGACTGAACTGGAGTGCTTAGGTACTGGGCAGCTGGCCTGGACCGGGGGAGGTTGCTATACATGTACTCCGTAGGTACCTCCGCTTGGCACCGACAGGCCTCGAGACACGCTCAGGCGCTGCCGCCGCACATGCTCCAGCCCCCCAGCCCCAGCAAGCAAGCACCAGCCTCATCTCCGATTGCGCCCCACTAGCTTCTTTCCATATGGTGGCGGGCTCAGTGCCAACCGCGACGCGGAGCAAGCGCCAAGTCACAAGCAAGCTGGGCAAGTCTAGAGTCCGGACGCGGACCCACAGCACACCAAATCTGCCCTCTCAGCCTTGCGCAGCTCCCAAAACCCTTCAAGTCCTCAGCCTTGCCATTTGCTCGACTTCCTCCACACGCTCTGCCGTCGCCGCGCCGCGCCCACCCCATCGCCGCAGCCAGCATGTAGGTCCCCCAGCCTTTAGGTTTCCCCCCACCTCCACCTCCACCCATCAAACAACGGGGGCATGTGGTGCATCTTGCTTGCTGCATAGCTCTGCGTGCATCCTAGCCGCCATGTCGCCCCAGCCGCTGGGACCGAGGAATTGGCTTCTGCCAGGCGCCTGGCCCGCCGTTGCGAGCCTTGTACAGGAACCCCGCTAACGTTCGACAGCCGATACAGCTCGAGGGATTGTCTGCCAGCCTCTTGACCTTCAACAGGCAGGCCCAGGAAGCGACTCCCGGCGCGCGAACGGCTCCTAGCTACCGGACATACAACCCGGCATCACGTCACTGTCCTCGAGCTCCCCACAAACCGGATCAGCCTCACGATCCGTCACCCTGTCCACAATGTCGCAGCCACCCTCGACGCCCGTCAAGGTGCCACCCTCAGCTTCCTCCTACACCCCCGCCACTCTCGACCCAGACCTCCGCTCCCAGATCAACACATTGCTCATCCGGGACGGCCATATAAACAAGTAAGCAGCCCACTCCCCTCCTCTCCATTGGGATCTTCTCAACCACGGCAGGAAAGCTCACACAACGCCCCTCCTCCCAGAATCCAAGACTCCCTCCTCCACTCCCTCAACTCCAACACAACCAACTGGCCCACCCTCGTCCAAGCCCACGCCCTCTCCCTCCTCCGCTCCGGCGAGGTATCGACCTACCCCGCCCTCCTCCGCCGCGTCCTCGACGACATCCGCAGCGACTCCCTCGCCTCGGGTGGCGGCGGCGGCGCCAAGCCCACCAACGGCGACGCCAAGGCCAACGGCAACTCCAACACCGGCACGAGCGACAAGACGAGCCTCGCCGTCCCCGAGAGCGTCCTCGAGGACGCCCTGAGGACCACGCGCGAGAGCCTGGAGGCGCTGTGCGAGGTGGAGGACGACGGGTCTTCGTGAGGGGGGGATGCATGCGGTGGGTGTTATGTACGAGATGGTGGGAGGAGAGAAGGAGCGAGTGTATGGCCCCTCAAGGTGTTTCCTGCTACCTCGAACATCAAGATGTGGTGGTGAGGACGTAGCAGTTTCATCCTCACATCTCGGGATCAAGGTATGGGGGTACCATTGATCATTGAAAAAAGTCCTCAGCTGCAGGGACGGTTCTGGATAATCACAGGAGATATTGAGGTTGGAGGGCACATATCAGTGACACGCCAACGAAGAGACTACCCGATGAAAGGCGGGATGAGTGGGTGGTGGTATGATAGCTCTCATAACGAGTTGGAAGCACATTAACATGACATGATACGACAAGTACGATACAATAGACTTCAAATTAACATGACTTCATCTGATGCATAGGAACAGACCCCTTTGTTTCAAGAACCTGCTTGAGACGATTACACTGCGCATGGCTCAATCATCAGGTTTTGTTCACACGTGCTTTTGTTCTGGGTCTTTAGTTTAAAATCGCAATCAATTTTCAAGTGTCTACTACGTGGCATCTCGTTTCGTCCTGTCTGATTAAGAGGCGCATCGCTGTATGAATCCACCCTCGCAGGGGCATTGCACCACATTGCCGAGCAGATGCAGTAAGATCTGCTGTAGACAGCTCCAGCTTCGCTACCCTCGCCTCGACCATTCCACCAACTCCAGACCAGAACTTGGTCACCAGAATTGACTATAAGATCTATCCACCAGCCGCGCATACGTCACTGCAGATTTACGGAGATAAAGCGTAAAATACAAAAGGACTAAAGCCGTGTCCTGTCCATCAACTACCCGCCCGAGAAATTTAGTTGTAAAGGTCATCATCGTTACCGGCATCGCCGAAGGAGTTGCCAGCGTCGGCGTCAGCCTCTCCAGCGGCCCCGCTTTCAGGGAACTTGAAGAAAGCTCCGGGTCCGGCGTTCTTCATTTGCTGGGCAAAGGCCTCATAACGACGTATCTCGACATCAGTGACTGATCTTCGGGCCATCTGCATAGCCTCCTCGAAGTGGGCCTTTGTGAGCTCAGGAACAGGGTCCTCAGCCTCGTCATCAACCTCCATCTCGTCGCCAGCAGCTTGACGAGCCTTGGTGCGCTCAATGTCAAGGCTGATGGCCTCCTTGATGGCAATCTTGACAGCACGCTGGGTAATGAAACCCAGGTCAGCACCAGAGAAGCCGTGGGTCTTGCTGGCAATGTAGCCAAGGTCGACGTCAGTGGAGACAGGGGTCTTGCGCAGCTGGGCCTTGAGAATGCTCAGTCGGCCAGGCTCATCAGGCAGAGGAACGTAGATGAGAGAGTCTAGACGACCAGGTCGGCACAGAGCAGGGTCAAGCTGCTCCGGTCGGTTGGTAGCGCCGATGACGAAGACATTCTTCTTTGAGGTCATACCGTCCATTTCTAAAAAAAGTTAAGTTAGTATAGTACTTCAACTAGTATATAATGAAACTGATTTACTTACCAGTCAGAAGCTGGTTCACAACACGGTCGGAAGCACCACCAGCATCGCCGACAGATCCACCACGAGCCTTGGCAATGGAATCCAGCTCATCGAGGAAGACAACGCAAGGGGCGGCTGCGCGGGCCTTGTCGAAAATGTCTCGAATGTTGCTTTCGGACTCACCGAACCACATGCTGAGAAGTTCGGGACCCTTGACGGAAATGAAGTTGGCGGCACACTCGTTGGCGACAGCCTTGGCAAGGAGAGTTTTACCAGTACCAGGAGGACCGTAGAACAGAACACCTCGAGAAGGTGAGAGACCAAACTTGAGGAACTTCTCGGGATGGTCGACAGGGTACTGAACGCTTTCGCGCAGATCCTGCTTGACCTCCTCCAGACCACCAACATCTTCCCAGCGAACGTTGGGAACCTCCACAACGGCAACCTCACGCAGAGCAGAGGGGTTGGAAACACCGAGGGCAAAGCGGAAGTTCTCCATTGTAACACCAAGAGAGTCAAGGACCTCGGCATCGATGGTGTCTTCGTCAAGATCAATAAGATCCATCTTCTCACGGATCTGCTGCATAGCGGCCTCAGAGCACAGGGCAGCAACATCGGAACCGACGTAACCGTGGGTCTCGGCAGCAATCTGTTCAAGATCGACGTCGTCGCCGAGCTTCATGTTCTTGGTGTGAATCTGGAGAATCTCAAGACGGCCAGTTGGGTCGGGGATACCAATGTCGACTTCACGGTCGAAACGACCAAATCGTCGGAGGGCAGGGTCAATCGAGTTGGGTCGGTTAGTGGCGGCCATGACAACGACGTTGGAGCGGGCCTTCATGCCATCCATGAGGGTAAGAAGCTGAGACACGACACGGCGCTCGACTTCACCATTTGTCTTCTCACGCTTGGGGGCGATAGAGTCGATCTCATCGATGAAGATGATAGCAGGGGAGTTCTTCTCGGCCTCCTCGAAAGCCTTTCGAAGGTTGGACTCGGATTCACCAGCCATCTTGGACATGATTTCGGGTCCATTAATCAGGAAGAAGAAAGCACCAGTCTCGTTAGCCACGGCTCGAGCCATGAGAGTCTTACCGGTACCAGGAGGACCGTACAGCAAGACACCTCGAGGGGGCTTGATACCGATGGACTTGAACAGCTGAGGGTGGCGGAGGGGCAGCTCAACCATTTCTCGGATCTGGGCCATCTGCTTTCGGCAGCCACCAATATCGTCATAACCGACCTCGTTCAAGTTGTTCTCTTCCTCGTCTCTTTGGATAGGTTCCCCTTCGCAGTGAATGACTGTGTCTTGGGCAACAATGCCATACTCCGGAGGATCAACCTCGACCACCTTGAACTCGACTTGTCTCATACCACCACGAACGATGAACAGATCACCCTGGCGGACAGGTCGGTAGGCCTCACGGAAGTAGGGTGCGAGAAATACGTCGAAGAGGGAGCCGGTAATACCCTCTACGGTATCGGCGATAGGGAGAACAGCAATACGCTTAGCCTGTGGCGGGGGTCAGATACACAAGATCAAAGCGAGGGGAGAAGGCGGAACCACATACGTATTTGATATCAGGGCAAGCGTGGATGGTGATCATATCACCGTGCTTGACACGAAGGTTGTGGCGGACTACTCGGTTGATGCGGGCACTGCCGTCATCGATGTCGTCCTCAGCAAGGACAATAAGGACGGTGTCCTTGCGCTTCTTGCCTCGGACAAGAACTGTGTCACCACGGAACAGCTGGAGGGAGTCCATGGTGGCCTCTGAGAGACCGATGATGCTGTTGTCATCATTTGTGGCATCGGTAACCCTGGTCAACTATCAGCGCACGTTCACCATTGTCGTTGAGGGGCAGAGGGACGTACATAAGCTGGTTGGGCTTCTTCTTCTTCTTCAGGATCGCCGTTGAGACGTCATCCTCCTGGTGAACTTGTCAGTAGCTGTCGGCTGTGAAAACGCTATGAAACATGGCAGGGTCGAACGAACATTCTTGATCTCGGCACCTGAGGGGTCGCTTTGGGACAGTTAGCTTCTTGATCCCGGATGCCATGGCAGCAGTATAGGGTCAAAATCGTGCAGATACATACGTCAGGTTGACCTTCTTCTTCTCATCTTCGTGAGGAGCCATCTTGCGTGACTGGGCCTAAAAACAAAGCTTCGCTGGTGTTGGCGTTTGCAGGTCGTAACAGGGTCGTTCAGGCTGGTGATGACAGGGAAGAAGAAAACCGGCTCGCAAAACTTCTCTGCGTTGACGACGGAGGAAGCAAGCAAACTGCGGCTTGTAGGGGGGAGAATTCGATACGAGGGACCGAAAGATGTGTGGATGGATGGAGATGGTTTTATTAAGTAGAGGTGAAGGTTCAAAGCTGCACCCAGAGGCCAGCAGCGTTCGTGGAGATAGAGCGGTACCTTTCGGGCAACCGCGAAGGCGGTGGGCCAATGATATCACTGATGCGAGCACCCGGCTCGGAAAATCTAAGACGCGGCCTGAGCCCGATGTACCTGTTTCAGATATTGTATGGTGTCCTACACCAAGCTAGCTCCAAAGGTACTTTGTTGAGTGAAAGCATGCAACGAGTCGGTCGAAGCTTCTCCCGGTTTCCACTTTCTGGCGCTTTGCTTTGTACACTTGTTGACTTGGTTGCTTTCAGGCAGCCTCGTCCACGCAACACCAGAAACCCATTATCGCCTCCCCGGGATGACTCAAGCAGCTAATTAATCAGATACGGCAAGGGTAAGCCGAAGCCACTATTGTCTTACGTTGAAATATGGCCTGCCTGCTCAAATATAACCTTGTACCTGATACTCCAGCTTCCTAGCCTGCCATCACAGCGTTCCATGCCCATCCAGAGGTTCCCTACGTCCACGAAGTAGGAGCTAGCGATAGCTGCCTTGCATTAGTAATTGACTCTAAGCATTGATGGCCTGAGCACACCGTCGTTCCACATGCTTCGCTGGTGCCACCATTGTAGATATTATGAGGCTGTTTGCCAATTTTGCACAACCTGCAATTAAAGGATGAGCCACCAGCCGCCAGAGGCAAATGATCTCTTGGAAGCCTGCACCTAAAGCCGGAAGGTTCCCGACACAGCAGGAAGCTTCATCTCGTTGCCCTGGTCCAGGATGCTGCTACTGAAAGTGGTTGACACATGGATATTGTTTTCTATTCCTCATTCTCGAAAGCAGCGTTTAGATAGCGGACAAAGGCCTCTCTGAGTCGGTCAGCAGTCATGTTGCCCAGGGGATCCAATCCTATCCCGCCACGGTTGAGTCCCACGAACGCCCGCCTCATTCGTTGTAGCTGGGGAAGACCAATCTTCTTGCCGGCCGGCAGCTCAATGATTAAATCGTCCTTTCCACTGGAACCAAGTGGCACCTTTACTTCCCCGCCCTCGCCCTCACCCTGCTGGCTTAGAATCTGTTTCACAATGTCCTGTGTCTCCTTGTCAAGAATGTAGAGGTAGTCTCCATCTGCGTCACGGCCCCTCTGCACGGTGGATTGGTTCGGGCGGATCACCTTG